AATAAACTTGCTGGATTATCTTAAAAATCTGATAATTCGGTTATAATTGATCCTATGAAGTTCGAACACTTGAAGAACAACTCAGGATGAAGAGGATCATTTCTTCTTCATTGTTATCGTTAAATTTCAATAGAATATCGATATTATCAGAAAGAATATCTTAAAGATTATCTTTAGAAAAAAATCTAGAATATTTTTCACCGATAATCTTCATCAAAATCTTCAATAATTTAAATATTCTTCATCATTTAGTAACTATTTCGTGTCGATGCTCTTCGGTATAAAGAAGAGAATCTCGTTTAAAAAATTTGTAAATGTAATTTTAATAAATTCTAAACCTTATAAAAATTTTAAGATTAAAGAATTTAATAATTAAGTAGGATAATATGTAATAATTTAAGTTGTAGATGAGGTTTAACTGATAGGCAATTAGAACGAAAGGTTAGTAGCTGGAGGGTAAATTTTATTTAAGAGTTCAAAGGGAAATGAACAGGATATTATCGAGATGCAAAAATGGAGTAGGAAATTTGAAAGACTTCCAATATGAAACATTTAGGAAGATAATTAAAAGTTGTTAGTTGCCCTCGAGTCGTGTTTACAATTAAAGATAATTAAGCAGAGAAACATTGAGTCATGTTTATTAACCAAGTGGTTATAACGTTAATATCGATAATTTAATTTAAAAAAATATATATTAATAATATATATTCAATCTTTTTCTATATTAAAAAAATCTGTAGGATCCTATATTAAAGTTCTAAAAATATATTTTTATCCGGTTTTTATCAGGGCTCGAATTTCGTTCGACTGGCAAAAATCCAAGTTAAAGATCCTTTTAACAGGAATTAAACTAGGGAAAAAACTTTTTTTTAAGGTTAATGGAAGGGCAGAAGGGTTAAAAACATAACAAAAATGAAAAGTTAAGTCGAAGGATTTAATGAGAATTTCGAGTTTTAAAAGTACTTTTTGAAGTGTATAGTTGAGAAGTTTTTAAAAATCGAAAGAAGAAAGTTCGTCTTGAAAATAAATACTTTTAAAAATATAAAAATAATAATAATTATTATAATTTTTAAATTAAAAAAAAAGTATATAAATTTTTAAATTAAATAATATATTTTTAATATCTTAAAATTGAAAATTGTGTTGCTTTTAGTGGAATAAATTGGAATTAAGTTTAGGAATTAAGGAAGATTTTTCTACTAAAAATGCTCAATTGCAACTTTTTTGCCTTTTTTAACACATGATCAGATTTATCGATGTTGTCACGAAAGAGAATTCTGGGAAAAGGGAGGGATGTAATGAGCCATGCAGTCTACCAGAGAGAGAAAGGAAGCTGGTTAATAGTGCCCAACTCTATTATAAACTTGATTGGACCTCGATTTTATTCCTCAATATAATAAATTTAATAAAAGAAAAAAAAAATAGAAAAGTTCGTATCCCCGAGGAATAATTCCTAACGATGCTTACCTGTAAAGAAATATCAACTGATATCTCACCTGGTGTTTTTTTTTTCTTCCTTTCTCTTTTATCTACATTCGATAAAATATTATTATCGAGACAGTTTAGACTGTTATACAGATAATAACGTTGTAACGTTGATTGAAAGCAGATTTGGGAATGTTTTAAGGTGGAACGAAGATGTTAAGCAGTCTTTAACAATACTTTAAAGAGAGAAAAATCTTTCCTCTCCCTTGAGAATTTTTTAAAGAGTTTTTAACGAAGGATTTATTTTATTATACAGATAATCCCTGCCTTCGAAACGAGTTTTTTAACCGATAAAAATACCTCTTTTTTTCCTTTAAAATAACACTGTAAACACTAGAAGATCTGCTAGAAAATATTGTAGAGATTTCAGAATTAACTCTTTATATTTATAAATATTTTTTTTAACAAAAAAATAACCTTTATTCGGCGAAAGTATTGCTGAACGAAGGTGTTATTTGGATGAAGAAATAACCGTCGTTTCCTTCC